TTGCCATTTTTCAAAGCAGCTGATGCTCTTTAAAGAAGTTTCCAGGGCAGCTCGTTTCCAAATGAATTTGAAGTAGTTTTCACATTTAAATTGCCTTCTTAAATATTACTGTACATCTATAAAGAGGTGCATCAGAAACAGATGGTGCACAGCTGGCACTGATTCTACTGAGAAATCACAAAGGTTTTGCTTCTGAAAATGGCGAAATTTTTTGGGTTAGGTTAGTCCTGAAGAGATTGTCCCGTTTGGAAGAAGTGTCGTAATGGTTACAGGGTTGTCGGGCAAAGTTAGTGATCATGATGGTTTAAACATTTTATGCGTAGAATGCGGGTGCTTCTGGTACTGTAAAGAAAGAAAAAAACATTGCTGCTGTATCATTAGTAAAGTCCTAGTTGGAAGGCTAGATTTCCGACGTTGTTCACTGAAGCCATAAGATTTGTTCTGTAGCCTTGTTTTATTTCCGCCGTGTCTGTTTAGGGCATGCTCCTCTTCCTTAAGTTCAACAGCTATTGTGTGAGAACTTATCGAGAATTTTCCTATGCAACCTTTACACCAGCCAATAAGCCAGGTGTATATCCTTTTCATCAGTATATCTCGTCTTGCCCATTAAAAAATCTGTTCCCTCTAGGAAACACGTACTAAATGATCAAACACCAGGATTGCAGCATGTTTCTAAACATTTGCGTGTGAATAGTCAGGTAATACTCACTTCATGACGCCGGTAGCACGCAGTATTTTCTTAACCCGCTGCACGGCGATTATTGCGCATGTTCCAATAGTGGAACCTTTTCAGTCTACGTGCAATTTCAGCATTATGACCACGATGGTGATGTATCGAGTCAGTTGCATTTTGAGTTGCCGTTTATCGGATAAATTGGAAAAAAGACTGAAAAACAAGAAGCTGAAGCACGTGGCATACTAAATCAAAGCAGACCATGAAGATCAACTTTGGCAGAGCACAACACAACAAAGAACTGTCATCCAGTGGCAATACAACAAGATAATTTGGATAGAAGAGTAAAATGGAGAAGCAGGAAGATAACTGATGCCGTTTTGCGCAAATTTCCTGCAAGGGAAGAGAGTTTTACCATTCACTCAGATTAGTTACCGCTGTTAGCGCAACAGCACCTGATATTGGATATTCGTTTTTTCCGGTGCCTTAAAATGAAATAAACGTCTTCTACGACGAGACAAAACTCAATCCGTCGTATCTTTGAACTCAGACAACGCCCCAGGTTCTAATAAGACTTGTCATGGAGACGAGGCCAAATGCAATTCCTTCCTGCGGATGGTTTCCACCATGAGATGCAAGAGTTTGCGCTGGATTTGATAATAGTCTCTCACCCATCGGATCTTTTTAATTCATTTGAAAATAAATTAAGCGAAAATGCGAATTGGTTTTATCAAATTATATGGAAAATTTGGCATTAAATTAGTGCAATCTTCAGCCTGAACTTTACACAGTCGGCTTTACCGACACTCCTAATTTGAAGAACTAAAAACAAATTTAAAATTAAATGAACTGATAGTTAAATATTCACTGTTAAAAGACTCGAAAGGTAGTGCTCCATAATCACTGTTGACTTATCTGACGTAATGATACATTTTATAAAATGCGCTTTGTGTATTCTCTGTCATTCGGATATTATCAAAACAGCGATTAGGCAGTTTCTAATGTGCAAACAAGGGAATATTAAGTATCGATAATGGATTTTTTTGAAGGCCACAATTGTACCCATGCTCGCACTGTTTTTATTTTTTTCAACTGTTTTTAGGTGCCTTTTTCAAACTGACTGAAGCATATGCACCAGCTAATCGCACAGTGGTATAACAGTTCTATATGGCGAATCTGATATGAAGCATTTTCTGTTTCAATGAGTGAATGAACGCATCTTTTTTGCAGCATTTTGAGACATGATCAATACCGCATATTACCGAATATAGTCGCGACAATGTAACAGACTAACGTGGATCAAAAATATTGTGAAATAAAACTGTTAAAATAGTAAAATTTTCACCTACATGTTGATGAACAAATTCATAAAAATTATCTAATATCATTATGAGACATGCATTCTTACTGGCGACTAGAAAAATCTGATTTATATCATATTAATCTTCGCTGTACGCCTTTATTACAATGCTTTACAGGCTTTTGGTACCGG